CATTTTCTTATTAAATCCCTTCTGGTAAAATTTAATTTTTTTTTTTAACATCTTTTATATAACTACCATATATATAGGGTGTCCATAAAGTTTGTGCGCACTTTAAAAAAATTATAACTATTTGTATTTACGATAGAAATAATCTGTAAAAAATTAGATGTTAGTTATCAGTTATCTGTTAATTCCCCGCTTTTGTAATTACTGTATTTGGTGTCTTGAAAAAGATTTCTATTTTAAAAACATTATTGGATGCTAAATTGAATCTATTACTTACATTATTTACATGCAGACTATTGTCCTCATCTTTGTTGTTATTATCACCCAATCATCTTCTGTCGGAATTTCTGGGATGAGGAGTTATCATTATTTATATTATTTACATGCAGACTATTGTTCTCATCTTTGTTGTTATTGTCACGTTTCAGTTGTTGTACCTTCAGGTTTTCTTCAGGTGACTGTCAATCCAGGTGACCTTCAGAGAATTTTGAATTAAAGTCTTTATTTAATCTACAAGGGTGGATTGTTCACATTCCTCTGCCCAAATTTAGGTTACATCTTACCTTTGTCCATATTTAGTACTGCTCAGTTATTGTGATACCATGTATCCACTAAGTCTAAGTTGGTACTCCTGATCCCAGACAATTGAAGAAGGCCATTGGATGCAATGACCAAAATATTGCCCCCTTTTCCCAGAGATGCATTATCACAAGCCTGTTACTACTTAATCACTATTTCCATGGCAAATGAGAGTGGTTCAGTTCCGTGGACACAGCATGCCACATCTTAGCTGTAAAAGTTTAAAGAACAGAGCTCACAGAGAAACTATTATAAATATTAAATCAAATGTTATTTTGATTAATTGACCAATTCATTTCTATGGCTTATCAACCATTTTCAGGTAATTTAAAGCCAGAAACTATGTTTAGATTGTGAGATTTTGGTGGGGGAGATAATATTGGTTTAGTGATACAAACTTTACTAATTGTTGTAGCATATCTACGGAAAATAATGGGTATACCCCCATTCACATAAATACAATAGTGAATACTGTATGTTGGTCTACAGTTGGAGATTCATTGTGGAATTCATTTGACTAACTTTTAGCAGTTGACAACTATTTCTATGCACCACTGGCGAGTCTTATATGCGTTGTTCTTTTCCTAAGTATTATCATTCATTACCAAGCTTTGTTTGATTATTCTATTCCCTAGATTACAACACTAATTAACCCATAGCTGGGAGTAAAGAGAAAAAGTGGATTCATACCTTAGCCAAGGGTACTTGTGCATAAGTGAAGATAACAAAACAAATGGGAATTGGTGTTCAAATCTTTGATTAACAATTCTGAACCATTCTCCATTACACCACTTGCACATCTAAGCGGTCACCCATTTAGGTACTGACCAAGCTCAACGTTGCTTAATTTTTGGGGATTGTACAGAAACCAGTGTTTCAACATCATGTGGCTATAAGCCGAAACCAAATGTTATTAAAGCTATCTTCTCTTCTTTTCACTAACTAGATTCCAAAGAACCACAAGATAACAGACAAGAAATTGAAAGGGAGAATATAATTCATTAAAGGGAGCTAAGTATTGTGACAGAAATTACAAACCTGGATTTAACTTGAATAAAACTCTTTAATAATTCAATCCAATGGAAAAAGAATACTCACGATCCCAGCTCTGAAACCATATTGGCTGAGAAAATTCGCAGCCTTGTCATATTCGTAGAAAAAGTCATAACCAGAATCTCCTAAAAAGAAAAAGAAAAAACGTATCATATATAAGCTGATTTCAGGTATAGTACAAACCCCAAATATTTTCACCATGAATTTGAATCCCTCTTGTTATAATGCTCATAACAAGTCATAGTTTGGTTTAATAATATTCTAAAAGAAAAGAGTGGAACACAAGATTAGTGAAAGAACTGTTAATCACATGGTTTAATATCACACTACTAGCGAATATCATAATGTGACATTTTGTGACTACTGTACAACCCTGTTCAACTAATCTCATAGTCAATGGTTGGTTTGTTTTACAGAATATCAACCACAATGGGTTATTTAATGCCGACAATTTTTATTGCTGGTAATATTTTTGTCCTTTTGAAATGTATAGCTGGTAATAATTTTTCTTCAAAATTTTATTGCTGATAATAATTTTTTACAAAGTATTTCTGGTATTAAACCTATATTTACACTTTCATAGTGTTTTGACCCCAGTTTGGGGGTTAACTATTTACCCATAGCTGGGACCCTAACAGGTGCTACCGCCCAAGATCAGGGGGGATCTAGAAACACCAGCAATTAAGAGGTGGTTCCACACTCCTCCAAACCTCCTGAGCAGAGGCCTTGCTTTTGGATGCAGTCTATTGTCTTACTCAGGACGCAGATGTAGTTTATCATTATACCCAGGTCGACATAGTCAATAGAAAAGTCCATGTTCAATACTTTAGTGTAGCAAAGGTTGGTTGTCTTTCTACACAACACCTCCAGAAAAAAATTACCTGTGTATAGTACAACCAGTCACCGAAAAAGTACGATTTTTAAACATTTTCACAAAAATTACCTCTGTATAGTGTATACCCCTATTTTTTTGTTTAAAAAAAAAAAATGATCATAAAAACTCACACTATAATAAAATACAGGGTGTCCATAAAGTTCGTGTGCACTTTAAAAATTTATAACTTTATTTGTATTTGTGATAGGAATAATTTGTAAAAAGGATTAGAAAAAATTAAATCTATATTTTAAGGTTTTATTGAAATTTTATTTACGCGTCCACATGTCCGCCATCATTAGCAATACAAAGGGTAATACAATATTGCAGTTCTCGGAAAACATTTCCCAACTGATTTACGGCAATGCCTGAAATCACATTAGTTATTTTAGCTATACTTAAAACTAGGTACATTAAACTTTACAACATTTTTTACAGATTATTTCTATCGCAAATACAAATAAAGTTATACATTTTTTAAAGTGCACACGAACTTTATCGACACCCTGTATATATGATAGTTATATAAAAGGTGCTAAAAAAAATAATTAAATTTTACCAGAAGGGATATAATAAGAAAATTTATATTAAATTTATTTAAATATTAGGGTATTTGTAAAGTAATTATGTTTTAACAAAAAGCATATTAAAAAAAAAAAAAAAAAAAAAAAAAAAAAAAAAAAAAAAAAAAAAAGCAATCTATATCTGTCTATATTTCTGAGATGAGGTATTATTTACATTATTCGGACTATTGTCCTCATCTCAGTGCTCAAGGACACATGGCACAGTGGATAAAAGCATTGGTTAGATCCAGTGACAGGACCAAAAGAGTGTGAGTTCAATACCCAGTTAAGGTAGTGGAGAACTTTCAAAGGGAAAATTAACAGGAGATAACTGATATCCATTAAACACGGCATGTGGAACTAGAACAGTCTACCCCAGTGAGCGAAATAAAGGGTTCAGTTCAACATTCTAACCACCCAAAGAGGGCCAGAGCATACAACAGCTGAAACGTTGTAATAAATATGGCGACAAAGATGAGGACAATAGTCTGAATAATGTAAATAAAAAGAAATCTAATTTAAATATTCAAATTTAACTATTGTTGCTCAACAAAAAAGAAGGAAGGAATATTCCAGTTGAGTTCACTTACATGCTAATACCCTTGGGAAATGTATGAATCCATCTCTTTGGTCACTAGCTATGAGTAAATAGCAGAACAGAAAGAGTTTCATAGCCTTGAGTAGCAACCAGTCTAGGAGAAGGAAAACTCTGAATTCAAAACTGTATGTAGCCCTGGTGAAGCACATACTATGCAGCTAAGGAAAGGATCATTTGTATTGACTCGATGATCCCGACTACGATCGGCTTTTTAACAGACTGTGTTCTATAGCCTTGGGTGGCAACTGATCTAGGAGAAGGAAAACTCTGAATTCAAAACTGTATGTAGCCCTGGTGAAGCACATACTATGCAGCTAAGGAAAGGATCGTTTGTATTGACTCGATGATCCCGACTACGAATGACTCCTTAACAGACTGGGTTCTATAGCCTTGGGTGGCAACTGATCTAGGAGAAGGAAAACTCTGAATTCAAAACTGTATGTAGCCCTGGTGAAGCACATACTATGCAGCTAAGGAAAGGATCGTTTGTATTGACTCAAGGATCCTGACTACGGTCAATTCCTTTTTATTTTTTTTTCTTCCTGTGCAAAGGGTATCTAAGAAGTCGACATTGACTACAAAGTTTTTGAACTATGGAATCAAGGGCCACATGTCCTTGACCAAAGCAAGCTGAAGTTTGGACTGGAGAGGGATGGGACCCACAAGATCTACCTGCCCAAAACATGCTATGCCTGATTGAATACCTGCAAAGAAGATTATCATGCATGGCCACTCTTCTAGATTCTTCTAGATAAATGTGAATGTCCCCAAGGGCTCTATCATCAGACCTACATTATTCTGGATTTTTATCAACAACCTTTCTGGTCCTAAGTTCTCAACTTGGTATCTATACTGATGACAACTATTTACTCCTGTCTTCATAGTAAGTCTAATAAGTAAAATTGGCAGCTGTTTTTAAAAATGACCTTTAATCTGTTTACAGGGGCAAGATATGGCTTGTTAATTTTAATGCTTCCAAAATCAAACTGCCCTTTTAAAATGTCTTGGTGAACTGCACTTACAGATGCTAACCTTCAGGAGACTAACTCATTTCGCCATCTTGGTCTAATGTTTTCAACTGACATGAATTGGAGTAGAGTGGGTGGGTAATTTATTTGTTGCCTGAATTTTTACAAGCATTGCTTTAAATACTGTTTTTATTTTAAATTTATTGATTCAAGTGAAAAAAAAAAAAAGAAAAAAAACTTTTGTTTTCTGTCAATTTAAAAAACTTTATCATAATTCTCAAAAAAAATGATAGTTTTCTAATTGAACTGTGATTAAGAGTAAATAATCTTTTCGTTTGGAATTTATTAATTAAAAAAAGTCGTGTCAACTTTATTGCTTCAGCATGATTAAAATTGTTTTTGGCACAACAGCTTAAAAACAAAAAAAAAGTTAGTCTGTACCTCTGCAGTTTAACACAAAAATTTATTAAGAAACTTTAGTTGAGTCCCTTTAAATTTCCCATGGGCACACCCAAATCACCAGCTGTGGATCCTGAGGACTCACTACATTAAAAATCTATCAGCATCATTGTATATCACATAGATAATATTATTTAAAATTTATTTTCCATCTAAAAAAAGCATATAATAAACATATCATTTAATACATGTCAAGTCGCATCAGAAAAATCCCTGATTAAACTGGACATTAAAGTCAAATGTTAATGGTAATGTTAGACAATTTATTTTTTTTAATCATTTCCCTCCAAGCCAAGTAATAAAGATGCAAGGTTTGGTTTGGTTTGTTTTACAGTATATCAACCTCAATAGGTCATTTAATGCCGAAAACTTTTTTTTGTCCTGGTAATATTTTTTTTCTTCAAAAATTTATTGCTGGTAATAATATTTTCAAAGTATTTCTGGTATTAAAACCTATTTTTACACTTTCATAATGCTTTTTACCTCAGTTTCAGGGTTAACTATTTGCCCATAACTGGGACCTTATCAGGTGCTACCACCTCGGGTCAGAGTGAACCTGGGAACACCAGCACTTAAGAGGTGGGTCCACACTCCTCAAAAGCTTCTGATCAGAGGCCTTGCTGTTGGACATAGTTTATCATCTTACCCTGGACGCGGATGTAGTTCATCGTCATACCCAGGATGGCAAAGATGCAAGGGGTTACTCAATGTGAAAGACACTTAGAAAAAAAAACATAACAAAGAGAGGAGAATAAAAAAAGAGGAATTAAGGGGACAAAAGATAATGATTGACATTGCATTTAAATTTAGGAAGATCGAAATTGACTGGAAAGCAAAAAACCATACAACAGGGGAGAGCTAGGAAAAAAGGTTTACTCTCCCATTTACATTTCCCCCATTATTGGCATTATTATATCTGTGATATAATACCATAGTTCAAGCATGTGATAGCTGAAAGGAAAAGGAATGACAAACATACTTTGTTCTCAGAGAGATTTCTATATCACAAAGATATATAAAATATATATTTAATGAAAAAACAGACCATTTTAAGGTACCATTACAATAATTTATTTCGCCAAAATCTTTTTTGAAGGATTTTGGTGAAATAAATTATTGTAATGGTATTTTAAAGTGGTCTGTTTTTTCATTAGATATTAGCTCTAGATTCACATTGAGCTCTCAGGATTTCATCCTCCTTGGAATTACTCATTCGGTTTACCAAGTTCTTCGCAACTTAAAATATATATATATATATATATATATATATATAGATGTGTCCCACACACAGAATAATATATCACATATATCTACACAGCAAGCAGAGTGTAAGGAGAAACAAAAAGGAAGGGTCTTACATATAATCTGGAGATATTTCTATGTCTGGAGAAGCCATATTTAGGACTCCAGATTAAAACAGGCCGAATTCATCTACCAAGACCCAGGCAAGGACATATTCTACAAATGAGAACAGTGAGTCTTGGGTTTCCCCAAAGTGAAGACTACAACCCAGAATTTCTTTTTATATCTGGGAAAGATATATTCCCAAAAGGTATGTACATCTACTAATTCAGTATATGTAAGCTTTGAAATTTATTTTTTAAAATGAAAAAGCTTACTGGATGCTTTCATTTTAGTGTTAATTGAAAGCTAAAGGATTTAAAATTTACTATTTCTTGTAAGCAAAACACTCTGTGGTGTATTTCAAACAGAAATTATATTGACAGGAATCAATTTTTTTCAGTAAAATCAATAAAATTGGCCATTGTGACCACATTTGCAAAGAAAAGTTAATTCTCAGTTTTAAAAATCTTGCAAAAATAAAAATATCGAAAATATATTTTTAAAACATTATTTAAGGAAAATTATCATAAAATGTTGCATACAAGCATTTCTTAACCATGGGGCCCTGTTTTTCTGAGATGTTAATTTATTGGCCACCGAATGTTTTCATAGTAACCTCTTGCATCTTAGTAGCTTTATTGCCCTTCTTGGGGGGAAATTCCATCTTCACATTTTCGAGAACTATCCTAAATCATAACAGCAGTTTGGAAAAACTTTAGTTTAATACTTCTGTATATTTGATCACTCAAATGTTATTTTTTAGTGGATTCCCATATTTGAGTAGACGCTCCATTTATTTATTTTCATCTACTGGCCTGAATATTCAAGAAATCTTATTAAAGAAAAATATGCGCTCTCCAGCAGGATTTTTTGTTTAATAAGATTTCTCAAATATTCAAGCTAGTAGACAAAAATAAATATACTGTTTAATAAGTATAGGCAAGGAAAAGTTGAAAATTTATTAACTACGTATTTTGCCAAGTGCCTTGTCTCTCTTTGGCTTCTTGTGGTTAGAATGAAAGAAGGACAAAAATGTATATGAAGAATCTCTTGAGGTCTGTGAGGATAAGAGGGGACCATAAAACAAATTAAATTAGATTACCATGTCACCTCCAATTTCTAAAGTAAAGAAAGTGTCTGTCTGATTCTTTGTTTTATCTATATTAGAGTCATTTGGTGGTGTTGGATTTTCAATCAGTCAACCGAATGTAGAGTCTTTCACACAGACACACACACACTTATATATATATATATATATATATATATATATATATATATATATATATAGTTGTATGGATATGAGTTTGTGACCCTGTGTTTCATGCTTTTGCGATCATCAGACAAATTGGTTTATTTTTTAAAACTGGATCTATTTATGTTTATTTGACTGTGTTTGGTTGTGTGTCCATGCGTATGAGAGTGTCACCCCCACCCAAACAAACACAGAAGTAGATTCCCACCTCCCACCACTAAAAATAGTCAGACAAGCATAAATAGATCCAATTTAAAAGAAAAAAATAAATTTGATGATTGCAAAGACGTGAAAGCTACGGTCACAATCTCATATCCATACAACTGAATATGTTAGCTCTCTATCACTGATATTGAGCAATTTTTCAATAACCCACATAAAATTATATATATATATATATTTGGTTGGATAGATGTGAGTTTGTGACCCAGGGTTTCACGCTTTAGAGATCGTCAGACAAACTGATTAATGTTTTAAAAAATTTGGGTTTATGTAGATCGCGTGTATTGGTGTTATTGTGGAAGTGGTGGGGGAAACTTCGTCGTTTTGTGATTCATCGTACTAATGCAAACATCGATGTATGCAGACACATATACATACTTGGTCATCCGTCGGGACTCATACATATAAACATATGTGGGCAGTTTCGGATATGACATATGTATGTATACAGGTTTATGTAAGTACCGCGCATATAATATATAAATAATTATACATATATATATTTATTTATATTTATATACACTTTTCACATATATATATATATATATATATATATATATATATATATATATATTTGTACATACATACCCACCTAGGTATATACACATATTTGAGCCATTTTTTTTTTTTTTTTTTTTTTTGCATACTTGCACATATATCGATGTCCACTCAAATATAATTATGCATATATACAGTTTGTGATGGATAGATTGTCACTTAAATTATGCAAAAATGAAAATAATACTGACATCTCATTTTAACAGATGTATTTATCAAAATTACACAAAAATATCCTAAAATACTAAAGTGTAAATTTATTCAATAAAATCGCTAATTGTGCTTCGTCTTTCTTCTGTAACCCTCTCCTTAGAGTGGCTCTTGAGCCTTGTACAAAATGAATATTATTGTAAAAAAAAAAAAAATGAATAAATAAATCAACAAATAAATCCATGACGTATTTAGAAATTACTTACGTATATCAACGAAATAATACAACATCTTTAATCCTTCTAAAGCTTTAAAAGCAGAAGGATCGCTTAGTTCCAGAACATGTTGAAAGTTCAGAGGCAGCTTGGCTTGAATAGGTTGACATAAAAGGGCCGTGAGAAATAAGCAAATTATCGCCGCTGGGGTGACCGTCATACTTCGGTGGGAAATTTTGTGCGGCCGTTTTACCACACAGGTTTATCTTTTTTTTTTAAATCTCTGCCTTGGCGTGAAATCAATTCACTTCAAAAGAAGCTCGTTCTAAGAAGAAACATAATAAAAGAAAAAAAAAAAGAGTTTATGAGAGGAGATTAATTAAGTTTAAAATTTGTTTTGAGTTTGTGTATTTTTTTTTTTTTTTTAAGAAAATAGTGTAAAAATTTTTTCAAACAACAAAAAAAAAAAAAAAACAAAGAAATTTTTAGCGGAAGCAAATAAAATTAAATTTATCCACCTTAAATAATTTTTTTTTTTTTTCCTCCAAAACAGTTAACCTTTGAAAACATTTCAGTGAATGCAAGTTAAACATTATTAACAACATAACATACTCTTAAATTAAAAATACATATTTTTACGGGGATTTTTCGATTACATCAAAAAACGCGTGGAAAAGCGCGCTGCGAAAAAAATATATACATTGTAGATTAAATTTTACGATTATTAAATAAAATAAAAAATGAATATTTAATTAATAATAATTAATAATTATTTTAGAAACCCTGGAGGTAAGGATTATTAAAAATGAAAAATACTTCATCATACAAACTAAAAAGTAAATACCAGGCAAAATAAATTTAATTAATAAAAAATTCGATCGATATTATATACATATTATTTTTTCTTACCGTTACTGTTTTTATGTGTGGTTATCGAGATTGAAAAAAAAGTACCTGTTGTTCTTGTTTTGTTTTTTTTGTCTGTTCGTGACACTTGGCTTGGCTCTTAGACTTTTTTTTGTTTTTTTTCCTGGACGCTAACTAAAAGAATTAATAAAAATCTCAAGTAAATATGCCTTCTAGTTGTCTCAGTGTGTGGGTGAAGAAAACGAGGGAGAGAAAGACGGAGGGAGGGAGAAATAATAATAAATAAGAAAGAATTTATGACGCAGGTTCTCTGCTTGTCGTTGACAGTCGCATGGCCTCGCACTCGACAGCGGAGGCGAGTGATAATAATAGAAAGAAAAGTAAGACGGGAGTAATCTGACCTTTATAGACGATGGCGTCCGCCAGGCGGCGCTGTAGAGTTGCGTTCTCTTTGCTTTGCTTCTTTTTTTTTTTGTCGATGTTAATGGCGGACAATGACTTTTCGTTGCTTAGCAACGAGAATACGCACGCTCTCTCACCCCTCCTCTCTCTCTCTCCTTCTCCTTTTCTCTCTTTCACCCTCTCTCCCATTTTTCCAGTCCACCTTCTTTCGTTCTCTCTAAAATGCGGACATTAGGAAATATTATTTCTCGCGAATATTTAAGAAAACATAATTATTTGCTAAAAAATTATTTTGCGATGAAATAATCACGTTATTTTTTTTTTTAATTTATTTATGAAATTTAAATTACCATCCTCTCTCTCCTGTCGTCGTAATGTAGGCCGCTTTCCAAGGCATACAGCAATAAACGACATCATCAGAAGAGGTTTGGATACAGCTGGGTTCCCCTCCCAAACCAAACTCGTAGGTCTCGGCCGCGGTGATGGAAAGCGGCCGGGTGGGATTATCATTTTCCCATTTAAAATGGGGAAGTAGTTGATTTTGGATGCAACCTGTTCAACTGGTAATTTGATCAAGTCCGCGGTTGAGACGCGGTCTGTCGCACGGGACGCGGAGATAAAAAAAAAAAAAAAAAAAAAGATTAGTTAATATATTCTTCTTTTGCGGGCATATTTATTTTTACTCCAGTGGCAGTGGAGACTTCTGGTGTTACTGGCCCACCTTCTGGGGTTGGTAGGATTGCATTTCTATTAAAGGACGAGCCTCGCGAAACAGAGTGGCTCTTACAGCGTGTCTCACTGGCCATGGTGCGAGGTAATGATTTCTCCATCATTGCGGCTGGCAGAGGACAGCAAAAAAAAATTGTTTTTGTTTATAGATACTTTGTTAAAATAAAAGCTTTACTTATTATTCGATTACCATTAATTACTATTGTCTGCATTATTTATGAAACACTATTTCTGTGAAACAATTATTTTGTAAATTAAACTCCAAAATTGTTATAATCTTTAGATACCTCCAAAATCATGTGCGCTCTATACACGTGTAAAAAAAAAAATCGATCCCCCGATTTAAAAAAAAAAAAATAACAACTATCAGGGAATTTCCAACTTTGTATTGAATTTATTTTATTTTATTTGTATGTTTTTTTACTTTTGTGGAAGAATTTTTTCAGGTTAGACATAGCACCGTTTAGTTAACAAATCCAATGGGGAAAAAAGTATTATCGCGACCGCCTTTACCGACCTCGACCATCGGAACGTCTGCATCACTACCTTTCAGAACACCTTTATTTCTTTCTATAATAAATTAGTATATATCCTATATATATCCTCGTTCTGTCGTCTGTGTTGTTTCACCTTGTCAGATTTAACGTCTTCGAAATGTTAGCGGGCCTCTTGTGACCTCATCACCTTTTGCGATACGGGGGCGCTCGGGCCGGGCTTTCATATCGCCACCCCACCCCCTCCAGGGGGTACGCTACAGTATTTTTTAAAAAATAAACATTCAATTTAGATTTTCTTTCTGTCAAATATGAGAGAAAATAAAGTGTTTTATTAAATTATGCTTGCACCAACTACCCACACCGAAAATTAGTCTTTGATTTGTATTGAATTATTTTTAGTAAGGTTCGGGACGAATTTTCAATATGTTCACATTCCAGATTGCATATAATTGTTTTATTTACTTAAATAATGTCGTCATTTTTTTTTCTTTATAAAAATGTAAAAAGAAAACTAAATTCGCGAACACCCTCCAAATTAAAAATATTCATCATGAGATATTATAGTGGCTTATCAGTTATAGTGAAGTGTATGAGTGTTGAAAAAGATTAGTTTGATTTGGCCTTGTTAGTTAAATAGCCCACCATAAGAGGGGTATAAAACAAAAAAAAAAATAAATTGTAAAGTGAAACAACAAATTTATATACGTATAAATCAATTAAGGTCTCTACAAATAAAATGAATGTATTTTGGTTGATACAAGGTCGTCAAAATGTTCGTAGTAGTCCTTGCAAGAATGAGTTTATGTGTACGTAGGCAGGAACGTATGTGTGTATGTATGTATGTATGATCGTTATCGTAGGGTAGGAATGTCTTTGAAGTAATCGCTCAGTCTTAAAATGTTCCGTTCGTTTATCAAGTATAAAAGAGGTGTTTAGTCGGCGGTGTTGAATTGTGCTGCACTCACTTATTCTGCCTTCTGAATGACATTTTTGTGTCAGATAGTCTTGGTTGAAATATTTGGTTTATGTTAGCAGATTTGATACTATCTTTCTCAGCCAACAGGCTCCGTTCCCTTCGTGTGACTGTTATTCGCTTCTGCTTTGCAACCTCTTTCTACCTTGAAATCTGATTACATCCTGCCCTTATCTATTGGCCAGTCTCTTTATATAGGAAATGAAGAGGCTCCAGATAGACCTTAAGTTCAACATTTACGACGGCATAAGACCACGCCTTTGATTGAAAAGTAAGTAAAATAGTAGATATTTTTGAATTCGAAAAATGTATCTGTAACAATTCAGTTAGACAGAAATAATTTTAGTCGTTTTTTCATTGTAAATTCTAAAAATATAAATTTTCGCAAATACATTTTTTATAAACCGTATGACTTTCTTTAAAATACATTTCTCTAAAAAGTACGTATAGTAGATAATCCTAGACAATTATAATATTTATCTGTTTAAACATTTTAATTAATTTTAATTATTTTACACTACTGATATTACATTATTGTTTAATGTTTACTCTCTTTGCATAACCGTTTAATGTATGCTTCCTAATCATCATTAAGAAACATGATTCACGCTCCCTGATACGTCCTTTTTCTCCCTAACACCTTTCTCATTCTCTCTTTCTTCCGGTATGTTGCAGGAGTTTACTGATCAAGTGCTTAAGTCAAAGAAACGGGTCTCCTGGTATATCTCACAAGAAAAATGGCGGACTCGCTATGTGAGTCCGGGTAATAAATGATAACGCAAAGACAAAACTCTATATAGAAACAAACGATAAGTATGTATTAACAAAACAAGGGTATACATAGACAATAGAATATTGTTGCGTGTTACAAAACAATGAATATGAATGAAGAAAATATTTAAAGACTAAAGAATGTGTTCGTGTGTGTGTAGTTTGGTGTAGGAGAATTTCCCTAAAGATGAAGTGAAATGTGCCTACGTTCGCGCACACGCGTGTGCGTTCCCAGTAGAAAAGCGTTTTCATCGTTCAGCCTACATCTTACCGTCCCTGAGTGAAAAAGGAAAAAGAGGATGACAGAGAATGTTACATCCTATTTAAAGGCATAAGGGGCGTCCCCTAGCGGCGGTTTTTTCGGGAAATAAGTAGGGTAACGCGACAGGTAACTCATAAACGCCGGTCACGTTTTGTGTCGGCTCTCCCAAACCTGGGTCTGTCCTGTTTTCCATGATTTAATGTAACAAATAAAAAAAATATACTGTTTCTGTGCAAACATTTTAAAAAGTAAATTAAACGCCAAAATTTTATACATGTATGTGATTCCTTGTCATTATCTGCCACTGTTAAACTTTTTGGCGTGGGTAAACCAATTTTTCATGTCAACCCCTAAGCCCACGCCATTATAAATGGATTTTTTTTTAATTTGTATTGGACCGTGGCGGTGATGTTGTTGAGTAGAAATAGAAGAACACACGTGGGTTAAGATTTTTCCTGCTAGCCGGTCCAACTAAATGAGAAAATTGGACTTTAATTAAGTCCAAAGAAGGCAAAGAAAAACAAACACAAGACCGATAAATATATGTAAACAAATATATGTATTAATAACAAGAAAGCTTACAAGTTACATGGACAGTTACATGGACAGGGTGCGTGTGGTGAATATTATATGTGTGTGTATGTGTGTGGTGAGTGTTCGTACGTACGTGTATTGTTCTTAGCCTGTTCCCAGCATTTGGGAAACGTTGTATCTGTGAGCGTTCACATCTCCGAGGTGGTAAGGCTGAAAGCCTGAGGCAAAAAGAGGAAGAGGCGAAGGGCCAGCTAGTATTTATAGCCAGGTTAGAGAGACCCCTCGTGAAAGGGTTAAAGAGCTAAGGAGGAGCTAACTCCGACAAATTATAGTCAGTTACATTCAAATTAATAAAACATTATCACGTTCCTAATTATAATATTTTTGTTTTCTTATAAGTTCATTATAAGCCTGTCTTTAACTGTTTCTTTAAAATTTGGCTTCCTCTTTTATGGCTATTCCTATCGTTTATGCTTTCAGCTTTGAGTCATATTTTGAAGTCGGAGTATGAAACACTTTTTCATCGCCTCAGCACGGCAGTGTCCAGTTGTTACAGATGAGCACATTGCCGGTAAAGAACGATTATACACTTGTCTGTTCCCAAATTTGGATGAACACCGTTTTTGTTTGAAGTAACCAGCGACTTAATTGGCTTCGTTTATCTGATCATGGCAATTGGCGAAGTTACAAAAACTGGCCAAAATGTCGGACACGGGGTTTTTGAACGAGAGAAATCGATACATTGGTCTTTTCAAAGGACGCCCACACTATTTGCGTTGAAGATCAAGCCTAATGGACCGCGTAAATGCAAATCGTTACAATCAATACTGCAAAGGGAATCTATCTATCTATCTATCTATCTATCTATCTCAGTCTGTTCATTATCTGCGTGTTCATATCTATCTATCTATCTATCTATCTATCTATCTATCCCAGCCTCTGAATATCTGTCTACCTTAGCCTGTTCATTATCTATCTATCTATCTATCTATCTATCTATCTATCTCAATCTGTTCATTATCTATGTGTTTCAATGCGTTCATATCTATCTATCTATCTAAAATTCCTAGTTTCTTCTGTATCTATCTATCTATCTATCTATCTATCTATCTATCTATCTCAGCCTCTGAATATCCGTCTACCTTAACCTGTTCATTATCTATCTATCTATCTATCTATCTATCTATCTATCTATCTAAAATTCCTAGTTTCTTCAGTATCTATCTATCTATCTATCTAAAATTCCTAGTTTCTTCAGTATCTATCTATCTATCTATCTATCTATCTATCTCAGTCTGTTCATTATCTATGAGTTTCAGTGTGTTCATATCTATCTATCTATCTATCTATCCTAGTTTCTTCATTATCTATCTATCTATCTATCCCAGTCTGTTCACATCTTATTGTTCTAAATGCCATGTAATTTCAGGGCGTGGGAGAACATGGATCTCCACAACTTCCTATCTCTTTTTATCCTTAGCAACGTTTCTCCATTTGTCAAGTCACCCACCGCCATTTTGCGAGCCATTCACACAAGCTCATCAGCTAGGTTGCCACTTGCCCTATTCTGCGATTGTCAAGTTTCCACACCCTCCTTCCTCATTATGTATCCAATTTCAGCCATCTATTTCTGATTTGAAATGTCTTTTTCGTTTCCATTTTCCTTAAGACTTCCTCCTTACTTACCCACTCCGTCCACTGAATTCTCAGCATCATTCCGTAGAGCCACATCTCTGTTGGCTCCAGTTTCCTCTTCATCTGTGTGAGGAGAACGTCCAGCATCCATTACCATATGAGAGGATTGATATCCTATAACTTTTCATGCTCTTCTTTTTTTCTAATAGTATTTTCCTGTTTCTTAATACTTTGCTTAGCTTTTAGAATTTATCTTTTGCTAATACAATGTTCGTTCTGATTTCGGTGTCACATTTTCCATTCCCTGTTAGTAGACCTCCAAGATATCTAAATTTCTGTACTTGTGTCGGAGTTAGCTCCTCTTTAATTCCCTAATTGTTCACTAGGGGTCGCTCTCCCTACACTATAAATACTGGGCAATTTATTCCCTTGTTTTCTTTTTCATTTCTTTATTTCAGCGAACACATCTACAATGTAAGTTCTCGCAGAAGATAGCGTCTTCCCATTTGTCGGAGACGCCGTGAACATTATACACACATACACGTACGTACGAACATTCACCAAAATACAAACTCTTTACGTTCACTTACAAGCACAAATGTTGATGTCTTTGTCCCTTGTAAATTTGTTGTTTAATACATATATTTGTTGACATATATATATATCGGTCTTGTTTGTTTTCTTTAAATCTTCGGTTGGACTCAACTTGAGTCCGCCATATTCTTGTAGGGGATCTTTTAATTCAATCAGGAGTTACACACGTGTTTCTAATTCAACAATACTGTGACCCACTCTAACCCTGGGCTGATTGCAGCACCATCTGTGACGATCTAACCCTTAGCTGGTTCGGATGAAAATCTGGTTTACCACGGAACCATGTGTGACACTAGCCCCTCTGGTTGTCTTGGTCGCGGTCGATGTCTGGTTAGCTTCGATATCAGTCTTGCAGTTCCCAGCTCGCCTCCAACGTCTGGTTACCGAAGTAACTGCTTTGATCTCTAGTCTAACCTACCCACTTTGTGATTTGATCTTAGGTAGCCGAAATAAATTAGGCGTCGGGCCGTAGTGCAAGCTGAATCCGGGGCAAAAGTGATACCACACAAGTGTATGTAAAAGAAAAATAATGAAATAAACTCAAGAGGTTCAAATGTGTTAAAAAAAAATAACAAGTATCTTTATATCTGTCTGCTGAATACAGGAGTGCGTCTTTCTCCCAACCCGCTTCTATGGATTCGTGACACTTTTGCGCTTCTTAAGCGAGTCTTGATATCTTAAGTTGTTTTTCAATAAACTGCTTTTTGGTATCTTCAGCCGATATTCGTTAAAACTCGCTTTGGTGGTGTACGTCTAAGTCATTCTTCATTAACAAAAATTGCTTTTGGTTGGAAGTCTAAGTCGGAATGAATGGAAATCTTTCGGTCAGCTCCTGCGAGGCTGGTCTCCGAGCTCAACAGCTCTCTGAGACTCTTTCTGAAACTGTGTCGGAAACTGTCTGAAACTCTGGGGTCGTTCGTTTATATGGACGCCGACCAAAACCGGGTTGCGGCCTGTCGTGGTTTGGGTTCTTCGATAATTCCAATTCGCCAATAAAGATTCTTTTTGTCTTCGGACAGGAAAATTTATCACTTCCCATTTTTGGAAGTCAATTACTTTCTGTTTTAGAGGGGTTCTCCCCCTTCTGTGAGGAGAGGTCGGTGGAGAATTATCCTCCTAAACTCTTCCTTTCTTATATTGATATCTCATACCGATACCTTCAGTGGGTGTTAACAGGTTTCCCTTCCTTCTAATATGTTCACCTTCGCCCATCACTCACGCCACCACTCAGCCAATGAACGCTCGGCAGTGTTGGTGTGGCTAGACTGGCCTCAGTTTACAATTATCGCCCAAAGAAAAAAGTATCTTCTCTTTTCTTTCTTTCTTTTCTATCGGCCAGAATACTTATGAATCGCATATCGCGACTATTACATTTTTATCTTAACTCGGGGTCACCGGGAATTCATTAGCGGAAATTCCTGAACAATTAACTGAGTGGTCATTTCCATTTGGAGACTAAATCTCTTTGTCTTTTCCGTCTCAATATTATCGCATTCCCAGATGCGCGTTCGCGGTCATAGAAAGTCTGTCGCTAAAAGTTTGAACAGGTAGCAACAATGGCTTTCCTCGTCGGTTTTTTAAGATAACCGAATTCCGATTTAATTCTGCTTTATGCAGCTGACCGAATTTAAAATTTATTATTGCTACGCGTGTGGTAGATTGTTATTCTTTATCCGTTTTCTGTTTCCCTTGGTACTTTAGTCTTATCCTGACAAGATCCGGACATACAACAGATGGGTCTCCTTCTGGACACAAGAACCAAAACCAAATGATATCTCCGAAAGATAATTAGTGGCTAATCTTTTAGGGTGGTCTCACTGAAATTCCTTTTCGGTCGCATGCTTAGCCCAGTTTTGATTATCTTTTAGAATTCTGTTTTCCTTGTCGCGTCATGACATTAATTAATTCTGACAGAATCTGAAACCTGCGTCTCTTGCGAATTTTCCGTTCTTCTGCGAAAAAATATCTTTCTTCGTAAATGAAAATAAAATATTTACCCATTTTTCTTTTGTTAAAAAAAACAATGTCGCTCGGTATGTCTTGCGTTATAGCTCTTTCTCGCCTTAAGTATTTCTCGTTTTTAATTTCCATGCTTAATTAGTTAGCCAATTACCATAGCTAAATAGTGTCACAACACTCAAACTCACACGGTCCTCTACACTTGTTTCATGTTGACATCTCCAATTTGTAGATAACATCTTGTGTATTTTTGGTCTACCTGACAACCATACTTTCTGTTTTCTTACAGTCCTTGGGTAGAAAGTTATTTCTTTTTTATGGTTTATATAGAATTTGTTATATTATTAATTAAATTGTAATATTTGTTAATGTTTATTATTAATTAAATTATATCTTAGTTAATATTTTTATTGATTTATTGTTATATTATTATTAAAGTAACAAAGTAAATATTTGTTAATATGTCGGCATCGATCCATTATTTCATTGTTTTTAATTTACTAACTTAATTTGATTATTAAAAGTTAATATTGTTAATTTTTCTTATAAACTCAGTCTACAGTTCCTATTGGTAATATTATATGGGGGTACATTTTTATAATTTCCTATTTATCTACAGTAAGTATATTATTTTTGACTCCATATATATTTTGATAATGTTTACTATTTGCGTATTTATCTATTTTAAAAGGCATCATATGATTATTAAATCTTTCTTTAAAAGTGGTCTTGGTTGCTCCAATGTAAATCGTTTCTTCTGTGTTACTATTCATTGATACAATTGCTTTATATATTATATTACTAGTTAAACACTCATTATTAAGCGAACAGTTTTTTTATTGCGACAAATACAATTATTATTATTATTCTATATTTTCCCTATTTTTTTATTTTTATTATATTATTATAAAGAAGATTAAACCACATTATGTTTCTTTTTCCTTTGTTTTTCTGTGTATTGTATTTAGTTATGTATACTAACCACTTTTTCTTAATTCTGATTCATATATTTTTATTTTCATTAAATATTGCTAGGATTAATAGCAATTCTTTTGTTAATAGATATATTAGGGGGCTATTTGAATTTTTGTTTATATATATTAGATTATTATTTGCTTTTCTATATGGTTTGTATGTATTATTATTTAAACTAAATGTTATGTCTAGAAAACTGAGTATTTTTAGATTAGATTTTGTGTCTGTTTTAAATCCTAAATTATTAAATATTTCTATTATTTGTTTTCTTATATTTTCTATTCTTCTACCTTTATAATTATTAGACCATTATCTCTTTATAAATCAATAACATCTTTATTAATATTTGATAAATTATTTAAGATATATATGCCTGTGATTTCGCATAAAAGCAACATCATAACTGTTCATTGTTACATCAAAGTTTGCATTCTTGTTGTTACCATTGAGTTCTTTCATTCATATTTTATTGTTGTAGAATAGTAATGATTTTCTGCTATGATTAATTATGTTTAATTCCTCGTCTTGAATATTTAAGCATTGATTTGCTAAATTTAATGTTTTATCTAATATATACTTAGTCTTTTATATCTAATTGCATAAAACATCAATTGTTTTTATTTGTAATACTGTTAAAGCAATTAATGGTTTCTTTGTATTTTTTCATTGGTTTATATTGAATATTTTTCTTAGTTTTGTACTATTTTTCGGATATTAGTTTTTTTTAGGATTTAATAGTCTACATGTTGGTGTAGCGGAGCGTGTGGGTTTAAGTGTTGTTGAATTAGGAAGACGTGCGTTCATTTCCTGCTAGAAAAAGGACCTAATTACAAGAACATCGGGGACACAAATTTAGTCCAACCAAAGATGTTAAAAAAAACAAACAAGACCGATGTATATATATATAAACAAATATATGTATGAAACAACAACTTTACAAGTGACAAAGGCATTAACATTTGTGTTTGTGTGTGAACGTAAAGAGTTTGTATTTTGGTGAATGTTCGTACGTACGCGTGTGTGTGTGTATAATGTTTACGGCGTCTTCCCACAAGTGGGGAGACGCTATCTTCTAAGAGAGCTTATATTGTAGATGTGTTTGCTGAAAAACAAAGTGAAAAAGAGAACGAGACGATAAGTGGCCCAGTATTTATAGTGTAGGGAGAGCGACCCCTAGTGACAAATTAAGGAGGAGCTAATATGTTTAATACATATATTTGTTGA